TATTTTGTCTATTCTGTCTTTATGAGCGAGTTTGTTGTCTAAGAAAATCGTATCTGACTCGACATCGATTCTCAGGTGGAACCTGAACGATTGCAAGATGAATGCTAAAACGAAAAAGCAGTCTCGGCGGTGTAATCTCTCAGATCGATGTCTGTCCCGCTCCCAAATCGCAAGTTTGCAACAGTTTCGTCGATTTCATGGATGCATAGAAGCCTGAACCGTGGGAGGATCGAATAATCGAAAGACTCGTCGTTCGAGGAACCGTGAAATAGCTGAAATATCCTCGTAGCTCCGCGCGCCGGTCATGTTCGTCCTGAACCCTTTGAAAGGGATTTGCTTTCCCGAAATTACGACGATCGTAATGCGCACAGCACGTGGCCGCATGCGTTTTGTTCGCGCTGGTACGTGTATGCGTGTACGCGATTTCTCAACGGCGAGCGAGAAAACTTTCCTCGTTACTGGAATACTTTTGAAACCGTTCCCCTGATAACCGGCTGAACTTTCAATGTTCCCGAGCGAATTATGTGGAGCGCGCGTCGGGCGACGATAGTAATTGTTTCAGCGTAATTGGATAGTGGTTTTATTTTACGCTCGAGTCGCGAACTGTATTAAAGTATTTGCGGCTTTGTCCATCGCGAAATCGTTAAATTTTAAATCAAAAATTCCATTCGCGTCCGAAACCGTTTCAAAAATAAATATTGATAATTCGACAACTATTCGGGGAAAAAACGAAGGAATCAATGCGCCACTCGATTCGAGCTTGCAAAGCGATTCTTCTCGACCAACAAATATTTGATAAAATCGCGCTTTGACTTTTTTATTGTGTAAACGTTTCTGTGGGATCCCCGTATACAGGGTGTTCGACCACCTCTGGTAAAAATTTGAATAGGAGATTCTAGAGTCTAAAATAAGACGAAAATCAAGAATACCAATTTGTTGATTGAGGCTTCGTTAAGAAGTTATTAATATTTAAAGTTCCATACCGACCGGAAAATTTTTCGGCAAAAAAAAAATTTCAAATCGTTCTAAAAAAATTATTTTCAGTTGCGGGGGTCGATTACAATCATTTTTGGTCAATAGACATACCCTCGAATTCCTACGCAATTTCGAGAAAAAAATTCATTACCGAAAAATGCAATGTCTGACCATACCGTTGATATGTTTCACTGAAATTTTTCAATCTTTATCAAATCGATCTGGAAAAATTATTTTCGGTTGCGGAGGTCAATTTCAATCATTTTTGGTGAATAGACATACCCCCGAAATCCTACGCACTTTCGAGGAAAAAATTCGTATTTGTGGACAAATTTTATTAACACCTTTTCAGCGAAGCCTCAATGAACAAACTGGTATTCTTGATTTTCGTCTTATTTTGGCCTTAGAATCTCATTAATATTTTTCCCAGGGGTGGCCAAACACCCTGTATAATTACATTTAAAGAATCGTTTAACCAGCGAATAAGCTGTAACGTGTTTGCGCTGGCGTTCGGTTGTTTGTTCCCCCAAAGCAAGGAAACCTTATCATAATTAGTATATAATTCAACCGAAGCGAAATTTCAGCGACGTCCCACCGGCTATAATGGCGCCGTCGAACGGGCTCTTAGCTCTCCGAACTAGTTTGTTAAGATCCAGCCCAGATACGAAACGCGACCATAACGTTATCCCTTGATCGCGGAGGAGACATACTCCACGAGTTCATGGCAATTCCCATTCGAGAGATTAAGAATGGAGGATGGAGGATGGAGAATGGGGGTGAAGCTAGAGGAGAGGATGCTGTGGATAGTCGTTTCCAATTAAGCTTTCACCGGTGTTGGTAGTGCCACTTCCCCTCGAAAAGCTACACGGGTTTGCGTGTAGATCCACATCTGCGTTCGTTGCACGTGCACTGTACGTACAGGTAGCGTTATACAAAGACTTTCTTGTTGGAGAGCGCTTTAATAGCTTCCCCCGAGAATTCTCGGAACATCAGTTGCCCGATTCGCGTCTAAGAAGACCAATGGCTGAAACAATGTCAAAGGAAATTAGGGGTCGCGTAATGAAGTCGGCGTTTTAGCGTCGTACGCGATTTGCATATCGCCGAGGGCTTTAATAGATCCGAATATCAGCCACGATCTCCTCGGGCAATATATTATGCTGAATTGGGACACTGGCCAGAAACCGTCGCAATTAATTCGGCTATCATTGAAATTCTCCACTCTACAAAGAAAAATATATGTTCTTTTCGCTAGGAAAGATCTACGCGGAAGAAGCGGAAAGAGAAAACTCGATTCTACGTCGGTTATCTGGAGATGAAGCGTATCTAATTTGATAGCTCCTTGCTAGGCTAACCGAATTATATAGCAAGTGGACACGACGAAAGTAGCAAACAAACCTGCACTTAATTCGGTTGGCTACGATGTCGATTAAAACGACTGGGGGCTGGCTGTCGAGAGTTTGTCTTTGCCTTTTCAACTTCGTGTCCGATGTATTCGGAAAGACACGGACAAACTTCGCATAACTTCTTGCTGATCGAGGGAAACTAAAGTTCTCGATAACTCGTAGCAGCTTGGCAACTGCGAAAGTCGGGTGCACACATATACACGAGCTAGCTGTGTGTATTCGATCGAAATATTGGATTCGGAATCGTACGAAGGCACAAGGAGATAGGACCTTTTCAGGTGAAATCCAGGATTACAGGAAGCATCCAGGATTATGGCGGTTTCTGGAGTGTCATATCCTTGGGAACTAGTTTCCTTTGGACGAATTAGATGGAATCGCAGTAATTACTACGATTAAAGCGGGCTAAGCATTAAAGCGGGTCATTGTAGGCGGTTTACGAACCAGGGATAGATTGATTGATAACGATCGCGTCTAATTCTGATTGGAACGTCTATTATCCGACTTCCGAGCGTCTTGCGGAAGACGAAGGAGTCAGCTAGTTAAAGCGCAAACACGAATCGAGAATCGCCGACCGTGAGACTTGCTTAACGTTCGATCGTGCCTTTCGAGGGATGAAAATGGTAATTCCTTTCGAGATAATACAATAATAACAACGTCTCGGGAATGTCTATTTGAAATAAAAAGGGATGGTTTTGGCGAAGGTTTGAACCGAGTGTATGAAAGGCCAAATAGTTGAATCGGGCGGATAAGAGCGGGTATGATAATGAAATAGCTAGGCGTAACTCACGAGATGGAACCAGAGAATTTAATGGGGCGAAAGACAGGAATGGACAGAAGGAATCCAACTTGCGTGCTGCGGGAGTCGTTGGCATGGAATCCAGAGTTAAGGCGTATCGCGTTGCGTAGATACGTGCATCTGAGTGGAAGACATTATACACTTGAGAACAGAGGTGTAAGATCCACCTTTGTGTCACGTTGAGCCAACCGTATCCATCGAGAAACAGGGTTAAACGATCGTATTTACGGGCGGAAACGGTGAGCCGAAGACATAAATTCTAAACATACTACACGCGAGAGGAAACGGTTTTGGTCAGGTTAGCTCCGAACAGAGAGAATATAAATAAATGGATTTTATTTTCTGATACATTCAATCCTCGTATCGAAAGGGTATGTTGAAAGTGATATAGTTTTTTCTTGGGTCTATCCTCGAATAAGTCCGACTCTCATTTACACGGATATTCGACGCTACCTAGAAAACGAGTGCATTTCGTTCACGTTTGCTAAAATAATAAACGCGTGTATCAATAATTAACTTTCAAATTAAAATTTCACGAGCCGTTTCGTGTCAAAGGGTTGGTTTATTTTATCAGAGAATAAAGTGGCGGATCGTAGAATCGTAATGCGATGCCGGGTAAATGAAATAAACACGAATTAAATAGGATGACCGTTGTGGAAACGAATTAATATCGAATTACATCGGCATCGTCGTTTCGCCGGGGGAAACAAAAAATGGACGTCGGCGTTGCTCGTCCGTTCGACAGAATTAATAGAAGCCGGTGACGCGTGAGCTTTGCGAAAATTCGGAGCGCGGCTCGTCGCGAGTTTCAGACTTTTGATATACATATTTGCAGTCGAGCCGCGTCTGTTTCATGGGAAACTCGTTGCTGCTTTCAGTATTACGAGTGGCGTGTACTCCAACATGCACGCGGACTTCCGCAAGTTTAGCACGAGCCGAGCTTGACTCGCATGCTCGTGAAATCTGTATGAAAGTCAATTTCCCTCATTTTTCCATAATCTGCGCGTTCGTGTAACGAACAACTGAAAGAATACCGATGCCGTGTGATCTTTCGCCAGGGCGTAGGAACACGAAAACTTACTAGACTTTTTAGAAATTAATTTTTGAACAACCCGTTGACGACGACAAAAAAGAAGGTGCATTTTCGTATTCCCCGTAACAATACTTGTTCCGCAATAACGGTTTTTTGAATCGAGCAAAACAATGAACTTCAAAGTGAATGACGTTTCGGCCACCGGTGATCGACACTTTATTAAAACGTTTATTGTAAATAACCCCCGTTGCTCGTGAACGTGTGAATAAATAATTCGAACGAACCTGAAATGGACCCCGCGCGAATGAAAATTCACGCGATACTCGCCGCAAGGAAATTAGATCGGCAGTGAATTCGACACACCATAATCAAGACGGTAGTTTCAGGAATACTGAGACGATACGGCAACGCAGAGACGGATGTCCGACAAATTGAGTAAAGCTTGGCGGTCGGTACGGTCAGCAATGAAAATTGCCCCGAAATTAGGGTACGCTAATGGCCTCCCCGTAATTAATATTGGATGCAAGCGTGGCTTATTCTCCCGCTCTCATTGCCTGATATAATACGCGCTGTTTCCTATACATTGTTACCGTAAATGGCCTAAATGCTTTTAACACGTATCTCGCCACGATTCGTTTACAGGCCCAAATTATTTGAAACGCGCCTTACACCGTGTACTATCCGATTATCAGACATGATTCTGCACGGATCAAAGCAATCTTGTTCTACTCGAGCACGTTTCATAGACGATGTACCAATTTCATCGTGACTTTTGCTTGTTTCTTTGTTGCAGATCACATGGGTGAAGCGGAACGGCAGACGATTATTAACCGTCGGCACTAGTACTCATTCGATCGACAATCGATTCGTCGCAATGCATTCGAGTAAAGATTGGGCACTTCAGATACGAGCGGTTACTCTGCAGGACGCGGGTATATACGAGTGTCAGGTATACTCAACAATGAATCCACGCGCAATAAAAGGCGCGTTTCTTTGCCGCGATACAGCTTCGCTCCCCTGCAACATTCTGCCATGCATATCATTCACTCGGCCGTAAAACCGTGACCGTATACTAAATTTACGACGCAATTTTGCTTTGACTTTTATGAAACATTTCTTTCTACGCGCACAAAGCCAGAAAACAGAACGAAGGCGCGCTCCGACTACGCGAATAAAATGCACGCGTGTCCGCGTCGCGATTTTTTAATTACTCCTTTCGTATCCCATTGACGAAACGTATTGACCGCATTAACCGAGCATTTTCGGTCGCGCGGCGTATCGAAAATATCACCTAAAATGTCATCTCCAATAATGGTAATACGGGTCAATAGGAGCTTAAGGTCAGAAAAGATCAAAGGTGTCTTTAACCTCTAACCCGATCTATTGAATTAAATATTGCCAAGCCAGTCGTTGTAAAAGTGAATCTCTCCTTGAATATTTATCGACTTTCTCTCATTCGTGCCATAAGAATAGCACTCCGAGTAACTTTAAGGACTCTGTCTAGTTCAGGGGTAAAGAAAGTTGATTTCTTAAAACTGCATAAAATTGATGGAAGCTAAAATAGATGCTTGAACGAGTCAACGAGTTACTACTACAATAACGAGGTGTGAATTTTCACCGAGAAGACCGAACGGTGACTCGAGCTTCCCCTATCAGATGCTCGCGTGTAGTATTTCCGATAGAATATTAGGACGGTCTTCCAGGACGATTCCGCGGCGTAAATTTACACGCCGCGGAGCATACGCGATAATCAAGCCGCAGTTCTGGCGAAGCAACTAGTCGCGTCGAAATTTCAGGTTACGTCGCATCCGGTGCAACGGAACTTCGTGCGCTTGAAAATCACGGAAGCGTACTCGATCATACCTGGCGCGCCCGATTTACATGTGAAGCAAGGCTCGAGCCTTCGGCTGGAGTGTCAACTGATGGCGGCCGCGGAATCGCCCCTTTACGTCTTCTGGTATCGTCAGGGCCGAATGATCAATTACGACGAGGAGCCGGGCGTGAAAGTCGAGCTGACGGAGAGCGGATCGATTTTAATGGTCAACAAAACGAAGCCGTCGCACGGAGGAAATTACACGTGCGAGCCTAGCAACGCGAAACCTGCATACGTGGTGGTTCACGTGATCGAAGGTAAGCGAAATCACTTTAATCCCCTCCGAGAATTATCCAGATTTTTACTGGAAATTAGAAAATTTACGGATTCTTCAAATAATAGTAAATAAAACAGAAAAGCGACGCGAATGGAGTGTACTCGAACTTCTAGATGGTTACATATAGTTTTGAAACGGAGAAAATCTTCGGTGCCGCGAACGAGCGACGATATTTCAGAGGTTTAATAGATATCCGGGCTAGCGAAGGGTACGACAAGCAGAGCCCAGCGTCTCTGAAGATCGTCGAGCACGTGATCGGACTGCAACGTCGAATGTCGCAAAAGAGAGACAAAGTAACGAGGAAAGTCTGGTCTCGTGCTTCGACTCGCAGCATGCAAGCGGTTGGACCTCGTTTGAAACGCGGTAGTCGCCCCCCGGGGGCATTTCGTTGCTCCTTTTCGAGAGCTTCTCTTTTCTCCCTCTCTCAAGGTCCCCAGCTAGGCCAGCGACCCCTAACTACGAAGATCATTTTGTATCTCGTGTATCCAGCAATCTTTTAAAAAGTCTACAACCTTTAAAAAACGGGCTTGAAAATTGATTTCCTAAAATCGAGGTTTCTAATCTGGTTTCAGAGGAGGAGAAACCGGCGGCGATGCACGGCGGCGACAGAAGGAACCTTAGCCCAGCGATTCTGGCGAGCAACTTTTTAGTGTCCCTGTTGGCGACCGTCAGCTGGAGGATACCGAGTTTCACCAGCCTTTACCCGACGTGAATCGCCGCTGAACACGCGGGAACGAGCGTCGTTAGTCGCGACGCCGCAGCCCGGTCCACCTTCTTCCACGAGGACGACTCCGAGGATCGCGCGGATCTTCGGGGGATCGTCTTTCCATCCATAACTCCGACTCGAGCCCACAAGGAAGAGCCTGACTCGTCCGTGTACGTGTACGTGAACTCTAAAATGTGAAAATTACGAATCGACGCCTTCCTCGCGGCCCCCTCGTGTGCACGTCGCAAACTTTGTGTTCCCCAGGCTTTGGTGTCTGTCGCGAGAGACCCCAGGACTCGCGCACCCTCCTAAAAAGGGTTCGTTCGCCGGGCCAGGACCTTTATTTTCAACACTTGTTTTCCTCCGCTGCCCTATACGGCCCCCGAGAATCCCTTTAATCTGACAATTTCTTTGCCTCGAGAGACCGTGGACGCGTTCAGAATAACGATTATCCTCTTGTTCTGGAATTGATCTAGGACTCCGCGCGATAAGATACGTTGGTATTGCGAACGGTGAGAGAATGTGACGTCGAGAGGCTCGTACGAACCGGAAGTTCCTTCCACTTTCTGTCCTACTTTCTGTCGCGTGTGGGAACTCCCGGCTCGAGGACGAGTTTTCACTCGTCGATATCTTTTGGTGTGCGTGGTGAGTGAATCATTTTCTTCGTACGTGCATTATACATGTATAAATACATATATATATTCGTTACGTACGTGAAAAGCACGCACATACAGGGCGTACCGGTTTAATCTTTCCACGCGATTACCTCCCAAACTACTGGTTATTCGGGGAAATGATTCGGATAAAACTCAACGTGATTACAGGGGGATATCGTGCGGTCGGTGCGGTTTTGTCCCAAGCCGTGGTATTTTCGGGATTTCAAGGCTACCTTTTCCGGTTAAACAGCAATCAACGTGTTAAAAAAAATGTCACTCTTAAATTTGGAAGAAATTAATAGGCGAAAATATTACTTCTTGTACAAAGTTGTCGTTATTATTATCGTAGATCTCTGTTTATTTTAAATGCAACGTTGCCTCGAATAACTCAGACATTACTGTCAGATCTGGTCCCTCGTACTCGAACAGAAAAGGAATCAATAACACCAAGAAATCGATGGTGGCTCGTTGGATAAGCGTCTGTTCATCAATCTTGGGGTCAAGAGTTCGAGTCCCACCGTTCGTGCCCTACTTCTCCTTAGACTCCCACGTTACAGGTCGTTCAATTTTCTGGTGTTTCGCACCATAGCCAAATTAAAAAATGAAGATCTATTGGATGAAAAATAGAGATATCTCCGAAACACGGTATAAAATTTGGTCAAACGGGGAAGATTAAATCGGAACACCCTGTATTTGTGCACACACATAGGATATAAGTTGCTGCGTGAACTCGAGACGGACGGCGTACGCGTCGCGACGCTACCCCGGAATCTCCCATACGTTCGACGATTTCTCCGAACAAGAGAAATCAGGATACAACGAATCGATTCCGATCACGAGCGGAGATTCGTCGCAGGTTTCGAGTTTAACGCGTACGCGATCGTCGACGTCGCTCGTCCGAGTTAAATGGAGTCAATGTAAATATTAAATTCTAATTATACATTCAATAAAACATTAATCGTGAACCTGCGATCGACGTTTCACTCGCGGCCCCCCACCGATTCCTCGCGAGAACTGTTTTATGTCTGCCCGGAACGAGGGCGGAATGCCTCGAATCCGGCGAAAAAAGAGATAGGAAACTTGTCGAGTCAACTTTATCGTTTGTTTTCTCCGTTCGATAGGTAAACCATGAGACAGGAAATTGAATGCAAAGTAGCACGTTCGCCGTGAAACGAACGTCGCGTCGGGTGGAAGTTTATTTCGGGAAACTACGGGGCGAAAGTTGCGGAATAGCTTCGGCCGATAAACGTACACGTTCGCTCCGCGGCGGATATCTCTCCAAGTCTTCGAACTTTCCGCGAGCTTTAACACGCCGGTGGCGAACAGTTATCGCGGGACCCGGCGCATTATCTTGCCCCGGATTCCTGTTAAAACGGATTAATTCAACCGCAAATTTGGCCGGAGAAATATCGAAATTCGCCAGGGGCTAGATGACGTCGGTCCCCAAACATTATCCCCATACCATACCGCCAACTTGTAGAAGCGCAACTCCGGGGGCAATTAATCGATAAGATTCGTCCGACACAAAATCGCACTTATATTCCCAGTCGTCGGTTTCCCCCGCGCATTAACGCCATTCGACGATCGATCGGATCGTGGACGAGCAATTCGTTCACCAACGACGTCGATCGATCCTAAGCACTGAATTTTCTACAAATTTTGCAGTTGACCACCGATTCCTACAGCTAATATCGCGTTCTATGGTACAATAAAATTATGACTGATCGTAATTGCAACGAGACGAGTGAAATTGAAGCTACTGTGGCTCGCATTGCACAGGAATTGCGCTCGATATGCGGCCGGAACTATGTCGTTTCAGAGAACGTCGAGCTGGAACACCGACGATGAGATATCCCGGGCAATTAGTACAATAGAAAGTTAATTTCGCGGGCAGGTGTTAATCGGCGCGAGTTCGTCTTTCGTGCCTCGTCACGGCACGGCACCGTGTTATCCCATTTCTTCCTCTTTTCCGAGTTCGACCTCGCCGCCTGTCCTCTAACCTCGTTCTGCTCGACTCGACCGTGCTTTCTTGCCTTATTTTCTATCTGGCCGCGCGGAACTTTCGCGATAAAAGCACCAAAACTCTTTTAACGGGTGCTAAATTGAAACACTACTGCAATAAAGTGCCACGGCCCCGTGACTTCCTCTGCAAAGACCGTTCAACCCTGGTCTCGCTCCTGTCCGGTTGAATCTTTCTCGTGAACACGACTCGTCCCGGATGTACAACGCGCCCCATTTTAATATTTCCGCGCCATTATCCCGGAATCTGGCGCTCGGTAGAACAAACTTTTCGAATAAAATTTGGTTTCGTCGAAATTCCTTGCAGATCTTAATTTAAAAATTCCGAAATCTCTTCATAGTTTCTCGAATTCTTTGCCTCGGCGCGTTTCGCAATTTCCCAACGACAGTTTCGTAGATGTTTTAATCGTATCTTAATTTTCCAGACTCTCCTCGTAACAGAGAAGGCAAAGTGTGTGCTAGTGTATGCGTGTGTACGCTCGACGCAGCGACCCGACTCGCTTCGGGTCGTATATCTTGAACACGAGCGAATTTTGGAGATCTTAATCCACGATGAGAGTCGGTGCGTACCAGTAGTAAGCTCTTCATAGGGACAACTATATATCCTGTACGTACGAGCAAAGAAGAAGAGGGATGGGACAGACGAAGCGATGCTCCAACTATGCGCAACTCTCTTTGGGGTGGTAGCTAAGAGAGGGACAGGGCGAGGGACGCGCAGAGAACGACTGACAGACGAGAGAGACGCGACAGAGTTGGAGGCGTTCGAGAAAGTTCGCTATTTCTTCAAAGAAGAAGTGTGCTCCCGACTCTCCGCGAGCTTGCACACGTAACAGGGTAATTCTGCGAGCAGCAAGGCGTCTTGTTCTTCGAGTACTTGTTGTGGAACCACGAAGCGACGCCACATCTTGGCCCCGTTGCCTGCATTGTTCTCGCGCCGTAAAAATTACCCGCGGAATACTTCTGCTCAATTAGAACATCCCCTATTCCTTCCTGACACTTTGACCGTGGACCGTCGATGAACCAGTTACAAGACCAATCTAGCCAACTTCTCGCGGACGCACAGTACCACATAATTTGTTAAAAAACGGTCTCGTTTACTTGCAAAGGCCTATAGACGAAGCGTCACCGACGATTCGATCAGATAGCAAAATCCCATGTCGGGACAGTTTAAGATTTCGCTATAAATCCGATAAACGGTCTCGTGCATATTCGCGGAACACAATCCCGCGGACATAAACATGGAGGCGTACGTAACTGGCGAACGAAAGCTCCCGTTCGCGACAATCTGACCTCGTGTTCACCGACACACCGGTGCCAGCTCGACGTGACGATAAACCTGCCAACGGAGTTGCGTGACGAGATGCAAAAGAATAATTGAGAATGCGGTTGTATCTCCGTGCTATTGTTCGTTGTTCAAGGGTGACGGAAACTAAGAGCAAAACGCTGCTCACGCGATGCTTCGTAGCGGCGACCTTTCGCCTCGATCATTATTACGGCTAAGTGAAACGTTCCCTTTCGCGTTTCAATTAATTCGCACGTTCGCGAATTTTTTACTTTATGGGGGAAAAATATACCGGTAAAGTATGTATCTAGAGAATTTCAGTAATTAGATCGCGTTTGTAGGAGCGTGTCAATCGATAGCAGGCGTAATTCGAGTTGTTTGGTAAATACCGTAGACCATCGCTATAATTGCGTGCAAATTACTTTATTACGTCGCTCGCCTCGAAGCGGATACGCTCCAGGCTGACAATTATATAAACAATTACAATCACCGAGCTCTGATAATTTCGTGCTTCGAACGGAATTAAATATTGAATCTTGTTTGGCATTTACAGCGGCAGGTAAGTACTGTTAGTACATTTTACAAAATCATATACTTCGCGCGTAATAAGATACATAAATTTAAATAAAAATTGATGTCTTGTCGTCGAGCCCATAAATTACATTTTACTTGTATCGAACAAACTCAACGTAGATAAATTCAATATCGGTATCGGAAAGCACGTAATGGAACAGTTTCGGAAATAGAAGCGTGCGAAGCAGAAAATTGCTACGTGACATGAAAAATTCTAGGCTGTCGAGATTAATATCGTGCAACCTTATTAATTCGCTAGCATTTCCATTTCAGCGCGACTGCGATAATGGAAACGCGTAAAAGTAACGTGCGTATATCATTTCCATGTTTTGATGGACGCGAAAAGAGAAGCCCGTCGCTTTATAGAATGGTATTTACCATGCACGGTTTTACGGCGCGACGGTCTACGCTCAGGTTTATCAAGCCTTAATCAGTTTTAGAATTGTAACGCGAATAAAGTACCCCCTACCGCCTCGAACGACTATTAACGCGTACGGAGGTGTATCGTTCCATGTAATTTTATCAATTGCAACGTTTCATAATGTATTAGCGATCGAGTACGTCTGAAATTGCAGCAGTGCCGCGAGAGGTAATATTCTGCGTTCGAAAATAGGTACTCTTTTCGCAGAAAGAGAATTTACAAGCGATTTCGTTTCCCCGATAGGTAAGAGAATTGAAACTTCTAACGTTTCGCTCTTCCATTCGGAGACAAAATTGAAGAATTATTGAGAGGCGAATCACGCACCATATACGAAGCGTCTAGACATTCGATTTTCAATCCCCGAAGCGTTGTCGTTCGGTTTAGAAAAACAGCGAATTCGCTTGTTCGTTTTCTTTTTCAAACAATTCAA